AGGCATTTGAATATGGAAGGAGAAAATAAGGACAGTGGTTAACTCGGTACTCATTGCCAGTTGGGTCCAGTGAGTACCAAAAACATTGAGTACCAAACAGACTTTTCCCATAAGGAATAATGTAATGAATCACAAGGCAGCCAACACCAACAAGCTCTAGCTTTTGCATTGAGTATTAAATAATGAGTACCAGGACAAAATTTTCATATCAAAATGCTTTGAGTACCAAATTCAATGAGTTTTAAAGCAGTTGAATATCAAGGTACCACTGTAATTATTTTCCTCATATATTTTCCTCATACAGTTGTCCACAGTGAAATTGGAGGGAGAGGAGCTGGATTCGTGAATAGAAGAGGCCTTCCAATCCTGGGCTCCTTGTGCATTTTTCAGAGTTCTAGCTCTCAGTGAGCTGGAAGAAGGTCCCCTTTTCCAGTACCACCTCTACTTCAAAGATAACAATTTAAGAGAAAGAACTTGTCTTTCTTTTTGAATAAAACCAGTACCAATATTTTAGCTAATGATGCTTTATTTGAGAAATTATATACTTCTTTTAAATAAGAAATAGTGCTTCTTGTCTAGCTATGCTAATTTGAACAAATCTTCTATGCCTGTGTGGCACAAAGCTAATTCAGTTGGACGCTATTCAAAGCTAAATGTTAACAAATAGCCACCATGTAATATGTTATATAATTTGGCTTTGCTTTATATTTCAGGGAGTAAAATTGTGCCCTTTTAAAATAATAAAGCATTCTGGTGGTATGTCTTGATTTCAAAGAGCTGCCAATTCCACTTAAAAGCAAATCTGCTTTGTTGGAACAAAATGTAACTTCAAGCAGTTATTAAGAAAGAACTACTAATACATTGTTTTCCGCTGCAAAGACATTGTCAGCAGAAGAATTCAGCGTAGTTATATTTCAGTTTCTCTGCTCCATTTATTTCTCAAGCTATATGTGTTGGGCAAGGAAATTAATTAAAAATATTTCTGTATGTTTGTACATTGTGCAAAACCTTTCATGACAAACTGATGTTGAACAACTTACAAAGTAAACTATAAAATACATAAACCAAAAATCAACAATCCATCCACATGTCACATTAAATCAAAATTACTGAAGTAAACTACTATTTTGCATAGAGGTAGAATAACTTGCATACATCAGAGCCTCCCAGATTGGAAAATTGTTTGGAAGATAGTTGAGGATCTAAATGAGTATTCTAAATATTTTGCCTCTTAATACAGTCCCCAACCTTATAAAAAAGCCAAAACAAATCTGAAAATTTCAGCCATCATGCTGTTCTGCGATACTGATAGGGTTTGCTGTATCCTTAGCCAAGTGATAGGTGAAGGCAGTCAGTATTCGTTGATAGGGCAACCAATTACTTTAAATTACAGACATTTAGAATAATGTAAATTTTTCCAATTTAAAAAACAACAGGTTGTTTTTCTTTGGAGGTTTAAGATCTCATTGCCTGGTGGCTTTCAAAAACAGGTCTGCACAGTCTATGTTGGGGATACTTTCACTGTTATTTTTAGCTTGGTCTCATAGATAAAACACTCGTCTTTTAGCCTTTTGTCCAAGATCCTATTATTTCTTACCATTAGAGCAAAAAGTCATGCGCATTGTCAGTACAAAATCTGAAAAGCAGTGATGGGTTCTTCTGACTTCCTTTGCAGGAGTGGTCGTCACAGGAATTGCCCTGTATGCCGCCTACAAGTGACCGCTGCAAATGATTCTTGGGTTGTATCTGAGGCACCTACGGAGGAAGATATTGCCACTTACATACTCAACTTGGTGGATGAGGCAGGCCAGCCCCATATACCCTGATGTTCGTCTTAACATTCATAGTCTTAACATCTCCCAAGATACCATTCTCATTATTTTTCCTTTCTTTATTCATTACATTTCTAGAAGCTAAATCATTATTTTTTAATAACGACTAGTTCTGGGAAGGCCTACTTGTAATTATTACTTTCCTCAATTACTCTGATAATATTTACGGTCAATACAATTTTCTGCTATTTTATGAGGTACTGCAGTAGGAAGTATTTTAGTTCTAGTAAAGCTGTTAAGTGTTTGTTAAAAGTTGACTTCATTGTCTCAGTTGAAAAATGTAGTTGGTTCGCAAGTCCTGTTTTCCAACACTGTCTAAAAACAATTTTCTAATGCTTAAATGGGAATTAAAATGGCTAGAGTCCTTGAACTTACTAGTTTCTGTTCTCCCTCCTATGAAATGTTGCAACTCTTCTTGTTGACATGCGTTTGATTAAATCAGTAATTGGTATGTTACATTCCTTTTATGGAATCTTTTATGAAAGCAGATTTTCTTTTATAAATGATTGATTTTTTCATTTCTACTCAGAGATAATTTTCTAAATCAGTATTTATTTCTTAAAGTTTGTCTATGCAGTATGGATGGATCCAGCAAAGTTTCTTCCAGTAACTTCTCTATCAGTAGAAGGCTTCTAATGTAGCAGACAGAAATCTTTATTCTCTTTCTCCCACCTCTTCATTTCCTACATGCCTTGAACAGCTGTCCCCTCAGCTTCAGGAGAAATTTCAGAAGAAATTCTCCAAAACAGTGAATCTCTGAAGCATAGTGCGGATAGTAAAAATCTTCTGTATTCTGTTGTTTCTTTTGCAAGTGCTTCATCTTAATTACATGTTAATTACAAAATCTGGCTGAAACATGTTTATTATTTATTTAGTTTTGTTTAGCTTAGCCTTCTATTTACCAGTTTGTAAAAAGTGCTATTGCCATGAAATGAGACGGTAAAGCACAGAGATTTCTTTTCCTGTAGGTACAATATGAAGCAGAAAAAGTAATCTTTCATTTTTTTGTGATCACTTTGCTTTAACGTAGTATGCATGTTGTAATCGAGTATTGGTGTGACAGATGTGTCCTGAGTTGTTACCCTACCAGGTTACATTAATAGTTGCCAGAAATCCACCATTTTCCAATTGGTGCTGAGTGATTTTTACAAATTTATTTCAAATGGCAGTTTAAAATGGTCCTAACCCCCCCCCAGATTAAGTCCCTAGGCAGATTGGGCCAACACAAATCCCCAAATTGATGTGTTAGTGATGTTGGATTTTATATTTTTCATAACTGCTATTATTATTATAATTATTATTCATAGAATGGATTTGGCACCACACAAGGAAAGATGGGTTAATAGTTAAATATCATGAAGAGTTTATGGCCTTATTTGGAATTGCCTGGTAATAATATACCAGGCATTTAATATATGATTAATATAGATTAATATAGTATAATAAAATTGTTTTCTACTGTTGCTGAAATGTTGCATATAAATATAGGTTGAACTAATTAAATTGCAAACCTACACTATTAGCTAAAAGATTTCTATAAATCACATCCAAGTATTGAACCTTACCACTTCAGAATATGGCAAACATGTTTTTGAGAGATTATCAAATTCTGCTTAAATTAGTAAAATCGAGTAGAAATTAGTGCTTTTCCTCTTTTTTTAATATGTGCTAAAGTCAAGGTTCGAAGAGTAACTCTTATTACTTAAAATTTGATATAGAGAAATTCAGATATTGCAAATATTTCTGACAATTGATTTTCAGTGGGCTTTAAAATTCAGAGTAAACAAAACATTTACTTGTTTTTGTTTTGATGTGTTTTTCACTGGTTATAAAACTGATTATGGATTTGATTTCCCCCACACCCTAGATATATTTGGATTTGCAGTGCTGTGATTAAAGTGCCCAATACTTTATATTGACATGGTAGAAACAATAACCCATTCTTTTTTTTTCTTCATATAAGGTTTGATTGACAGCACAAATATTTGAAATGTAAGCAGTAGATCATTAACTCCTGACATTACTTTTCTTTTTTCCTGTCATGAGTATAAGAACTGTACACCAAATCTTGAAAGATGGAAGCTTTAAAATATGCAGTCCACAGAGGGAACATGAAATTATAGGTTCGGTAATTTCACAGTTGTAAATATGTGTAAAGTGAAAATGTGAATTATATAGTGTTTCTTTTTAAATATACTCATTAGTAAAAGCGTTAACAATGTGTAATATTGATCCATAGTAAATATATATGTAAAATACACACACACACACACACATATACACACAAGCACACACACACACACACACACACAGTGTTTTACAGATTAACTATGGATCATTTGCTGTCTTCCTTTTCTCTGTTTCCATTGTGTTGTGAAGCTATGCCTCTTACTAAAGGACTTTTAGTCTAGATCGAAGATTATAGAAGAAGCTGTAACACTCAAAGACATGGAAGAGGAGATTTACAAGTTGCTTACCCATGCCTTTTGACGCATACCCTACCACAATAAGCATATGGCAAACTAGAAACCTATCATAAGAAATAAGTGTGTTACATTAATCATGTAAAACTGCAGCCCAGTTGAGTTATTCTTCTAGCATTGAATCTGATGAACATTGACAAATTTAAAAAAGGTTTTTAAAAGAAATGTTCAAGGGATGAATTACTGTTAAGAGAAGATGCATTCCTTAGTTCTTTTGTGTGGATGTGAACTTTTCTTAGTGGTTTTATATAAGACTGTTAATAACTATAAGCAATTTAATGTATTATGAGTTTTGAGCAATAAACATTTGGATTATTTATCTTTGTGTAATGTTTGAAATACCTTCTCTTAGGCATTCAGAGTCACAGTATATACACATAAAATAATTTCAAGAAAGTAAATTATGATTTATATATTCCTAGCCAGAGAGATATGCAGATCATTTTGAACTTGTATTTAATTTATTTTGAGCTTGAAATAAAATGTGCTTTGAGACACTAGTTTCTATATTTGGGGGGGGGAGTTTTATTCTGACTTAGAATGAAGTCTGTGCTGTTTCTGCGGTTGTTTTGGGGCTTATGACAATTCCCATGTTCCCACAACATTTTACCACCTAGTTTTTCTAGCAGCAGAGACTAGTCTTCCTGTTGCTATTGGGTTATAGAATAGGACAAACATCAATGAATATATTTATAAATGTTTAATATTTCCATTTATTAAGCTTCATGCTATACATATCTCTGAATATTTTAGACAACAAAATACATACTGTACATGTGTAACTCAAACCATTTTTCTTGTTTAAGCTGGACATAATTCCCATAATCCCTCTTAAACCAGCAAGGATTTCTTTGAATGCTAATCAGGTCATGTTAGCATTCTAGCATCCAAAAGTTCCATGTAGAAACAATACAATTATTTTAATTATATAAAATAATTAATGCAAGTAATCAAAATTGACAGCTAAACTTTCACCCATAAAGTCTAAGCCATCAAAAAAGTATAATAGGCAATTCCCTTCAAGAAAATATCTGGCCTTCAGTGATAATTCAAGGAAGAAGGTACCATTATTATGAAATAAAGCTTACCAAAATATTTCAAGAACTTGCAATAATAGTGCAATTTTAAACCCTTGTAAATTCAGTAGAATTTACTTTAAGGCTCATTAATCTCATACATCTCTAAGAATGGCAGAAACCATATCTGGTTTTGATATTGTTAAAATCATTTAGTGCTCACTAGAATTTGCAAATAGGCCATTTCTAAATATGCAGGAGCTCCTACTGAGTATAACACCTCAATTTATTAAAGCAGCTATGTCTTTTCCACGTGTTATTCATAATTGCTCTTATCTGTCTTTACATAAATGTGCATACACAGAACCTGTGTTTTATTTGAATTAGCTGTGCAGGTAAAAAAAATGAAGACAGCTTGAACAGCTTCCAAAGCAACTGTCCATGTCCAGAGCAGATACTGGAGAATTTGCCAGCTGTAGGGCTTGGCATACTGAAAACACAGGATTGCTGTGTAAATTAGGACTAGCCTTTCCTGTTGGACAAGCATTACAGTTGCATAATACTTTGCCATAGTGAGTGTGCTTTAAACTGCTTTTTATTAGAGCAGTGTTTTTTTTTTAATTTTGTAAAACAAAAGCAATATGGAATCCAAGGTTTCTTTTGAAAAGCTTGCTCTCTCTGCTCCACCAACTCCAGCTAATTTGTGAGAAGGAAAAAAAGTAACCGGTGATTGCAAGTAATACATTTAAAAACGATGTTCAATTTAATGTGAATAATAGTATAAAAGGAAAACTCAGAAGTACTGAAGGAAACTAAAACTTTCAGATGTGTTCTTTAATTACATAATGGAGATTTTCTAGTACCAAAATAGATCACTTTTCAAGTGAAATGAAATTTAGATTATCTGTCAAGCATTGATAAACTAGGCTATAAGGTCAAGTTCTGAAATTGTTATTAGCCAACAAAGATAAAGATGTAATTGTTATGGTCATCTTTGGTCAAAGCTGATAGTATCTATTCATCTGCTACAGTATCCCAGAATAGAATGCTAAGTTCCAAATACAGGAGCTGCCTTTATAATTATTTTGTGGAAAGGTTCTTGAGCCCCTGCTTCTGTGAACAAATTGCATTTATTGGATTGGGAGAGCTAAATTTGGACAGATGTAAAGTAAACCTGGATAGGATAGTCATCCTTCTGGATAGAAAAAAAAATGAAAATAACTTATGAAATTGAAATATCTTCCCAACCAATTTGCATTAAAACACGTACAACTTTTTTCCACACTACAATAATACTTAAATTAGAAAAAGCATAAGTGCAGGGAGAGAAATTTGTTACACCTCCTTTTTTTCCTAAGAAATTCAGAATTTGTGACAAATTTTACTTTCCATCTTCCCTTTTTAGAGTTATTACTTTACTGTATTTCAAAAGGCTAACAGGTAACTACCACCATCAACAGTAATTAAATATAACTGCTTTCCAGAATTCAGAAATTGCCTCTAATAATTCATGTTCAAGTTTGCATATTCAAAATAAACTCCATATAAAAATTTTAACATTACCTACAGCAGTTGATAAATCATTAAATTCCAGTTCCCACACTTTTACATCATAGTAATGAAGTAGCAATGAAATCTACCCTGTTTTCCCCAAAATAAGACATCCCCTGATAATAAGCCCAATCGGGCTTTTGAGTGCATGGCAATAAAGCCAAGCGCTTATTTCACGATCCAAAAAAATATAAGACAGGGTCTTATTTTCGGGAAAACATGGTACTCCTTACATTACTTGGCATATTAAGCTATCAAACATCTCATTTTTAGTGCATTTTATACAAACTACAAAATGCAAGTTAAGTCTGTGCATATGTCAGCTTTCCGTTATATCAGCTTCATTCACACCTCACATATATCAAATTATGATTGGTTTGGTTTTGGTTAACAAGATTAATTAATCTTGCTGATGTAAGTATAAACCATGCTTTAAAACTTAGCACTCTATGTCAAAGCCACTGTGGCTTATTCAACAATTTTTAAAACAAACCTCAGTTTAATAAAAATGTGAATTTAGCCAATGTTGGTATTCTAATGTGCATGAATGCATATTAGCAAGTAAATATGCCTCCTAATACATAGATAAGAAAGTTCTTAATCTTCTATATCGAAAAAAAGGTGTGGAACAAGTCTCATAATGGTGAATAAAGTGGAATGTTGATATGGATCTGTTGAAAAGGCTCCACTGTATCATGTAGCAAATCCTGGTGGATATATCAACATCTGATTTGCATTTTTCAGGTATCTGGTTTATACCTGGATGACTTAGGAAGTTACCATATCAAATTACTCTTCAATTAAAGGGCCCATCTGGAAAAGCCAAGTATTTGTATGTCCACTGAACATCTACAAGTGATGTGCTGATCTTTGGTTATATTAGATTATAGTTTCTAAATCCAGGATGGTCTTTGTTAACTAACGGACACTACAGTACTGTGTACAATCAGACACCTGAAATCTAAATAGAAGTCAATGTTTAAAGTGCCATCAATCCAATATGAGAAACATTGTGAGAAAACTGGTCTGTGTGTGCTACCAAAAGCTACTGTCCTATGTCCCTTTTTTCAAAGCAGAATGTTATGTATCTTGAGATGCAAACCTATAACGACTAGAGTTAGAATGTACTTTTAAATGCATAAACAACATAGCTAGAAGCCTGCATCTTGGCATCTACAGCAGTCCTATTTAAGGTAAGTACTTGCAGAAACTGGTTTTGCAGCAATTCTGGTGTAACCTAAGAATTCTGATAATCAAATGACTTTCTGTCCTGCAAAAGCTCACATTCTCTCTTTTGTTCAGACTTGTTGGTTGTGGCTATTTTGACAGTGCTGTGATCTCTTCTGTCTTCATCGCATCAGACAGAAAACTCAGTTCATTGCATAAAGTCTCATATCTGTAAGCCATTCGAATCTGTGCAACATTTGTCTTTCTAATATCATTTCCTTCTGGCCCATCAGCACAGTAATTTAGACCTACGCATTTCTGTTTTTCCTAGAGAAACAGAGAAAAGAAGATGCTAGTTGAAAAGTTGCTTTGATTTTTTTAAAAAAAGGTAAGTGAAATACAGCAGACTGAACAATTTTAAAAGGTGTCTCTTTAGTGTATGCTTCCTCAACTGAAGGATGTGGAAGATGATCTCCACAAAATGGTATTTTTGAAAAGGAGGATATGGATTATTGAAAGTGTGTGTGTGTGAGAGAGAGAGAGAGAATTTCTATGACCACATAATCTCTTTTTAACTGCTACCAAATTGATCAACATACAAAGATGGCGTGCAACTTCATGTAGCAGCTTTCTTAAGAAATCCTTTGCTCTCTAATAGGCATGATTTTATTCTGTAACAGTACACTAGATAATTAACTAGAGATCAGTGAAACTTCCCCAAACTATGCCTTCAAATATATTGGACCGAAACTCCCATAATTTCCAGATAGCCTTTGATGAAGCCGGATGGGAATTCTGAGTGGGCTAACAGATCTGAAATGCAGTAAACATGGACAAGTTTGATAGAAATCAAGGACAAGTTAAGCCTATATGTAAACAACGGCAACTGCAGGAAGTGTGAAAAAAGTCAAGATGGCAATCATGACTGATCTTTGTATGGGACTTTTTGACTTTCTTCCCTCCCGCAATGCCGCATCTGTAAATATCATGTCAACTTTTGGCAAAAGTGGCAAAAATGAAGCAATGCTGTAAACAAAGCTCAAGGGATCAGAATTTAATCACTTCTATCCCACATATTTATCAAAACCATTAGCTCTTCAGCCTGGTTATTTGTCCTTTGAGGAAAAACACCATAACAGAAAAATGTCATTAGCTAAAATGTTCCTATTATGTGTGATGATCAGGCCCTCTGGTGGCTTTATAAATAAAAATAAAATATATTTAATGCTCCACCTAGTTTGTCCCTTACATCTTCAAATGTCTGGCGCTTACAGAAACCAAGTAAATTTACCTTATGTGACAAGCCGCTTTGTAGTACACTGTTTCTTGCAATTTCACATAGGTCACAAGTACTCAGTTTCCATACTTGGGCTGCTATGGCATATTCTTCCATCAGTGCTTCCTTCAATTATACATACAAAAATAAATGATTTGCTATCAAATACGTTTATTTATTTATTTTGCACCAACAATAGCCTGAAATCAAAGGGACCATTTCTAGTAAAAGGAAACTTCTAATTTTGCAGAGCTCTTCTATTTTCCTTAATTTTCTTCTTCCCTTGCTGTCTTCTATGTTCCCTGAAAACTTTCTCTAGGGTATGGGTGTCAAACTGGCGGCCCATGGGCCAGATGCGTCACATTCAGGCCACGCCCATCCCAGCTCTGTGAGGGGAAAACATGATACGTCACATGACGGCAATGTGACACCATGAGTTTGACACCCGTGCTCTAGAGGATTGGTGATTCCACCAGAATAGTGGAAGCAGGACTAAGTGTTCAGAGAAACAGAAAATTTGATGAAATTTCATCTTCTCACCCTTTTATCAGCAAATGTCTCATCATAGTTGGCAAGATCCAACTTCTATAGTTTCAGAGCTGGGTAGCCTGTTGAGAGTGGTAGAAACTCCAGCCACTACACAGTGAAATTTATTTCTGTAAGCACTGTGCTTTATGAAAATTGGTCATTTTCCTTCTTAGATTTTCATGGATCGGTTATACCCAAACCAGACCACACGCTCACACGTACACTCCATAGTCCAGCTGCAGGACTGATGTTAATGACATGCCAGATCAACCTTGAAACATTTAAGAGAAGCGGAAAACAAATGGCAAAAAAAAACCTGTTGAGAGTAGAAAGACTCAGACATTCTAGTTTTTAATGGCAAAATGACATAAAAGAAAGGATTTAGGAGATTGGAGTCCATACTCCATGGTTCAGTACCCAGCAGATGAGATAAGGGAGAATGGCTTGAGAAACAAAAGGATTGTGAGCATTACAGGATTCAACATTTAGGATTCAAACACAGTAAATGATTAAATTGTGAATAGAATTCTATGCCCTCCTAAATGAAGTGAAATGATAACTGAAAACTATTGCTTTCAAATAAATAAATGCAAGATTGGAGAGCTGCTGCTGAAGTTAATAAGAAAACATTTAAGTTAATATTGTTTCAGACAGAAATAAAACTTTTAAATTGCTTTCATGCAAATTACCTTCGTATAGTGGAATTGCATGGGGTCATCTGTGGACAGAGAAACACGCAGTCCCTTGTGCAAGAATTCTCGCAGTGGGTTTTTTGAATACTCCAGGAATAAGCTGTTGTTGCTAAGAGGAGACATGGCAATGGGGATTTGTGCAAGATAATAAAGATACTGGAGAACTGGACTCTGTACAAAAACAACACCCAAAATCATTATTCATTCACACAGAGATAACAGGAAAGGAAACATTCAGCTAGAGGAAATGGAAAACCATTTCTACAGTTTGGGAAACTTTAACTGACCCCGGCCCTCTGGCATTATACAAGTTGAGTTGTTATATATATAGCTATACACCCTTATTTTGCATTGCATTGATGTATTGTTTTTAAAAATGTATTTTTATGGTGAAAAATTAAACAGATTTGAGATGTTAAAACACATATCGTTGCATTAGCTGAAGTGGGAAATAAAAGGTCTTTTCCTGTCTGTGGTGATTGAGTTGTGCCTTTAGTACAAGCTACCTCTTCAAAAACCAGCTTTTGATCTTCCTATTCAGTCTATTTATCAGTGAGAAACCAGAACACTGTTGCAGTTACATGTTTATTATATGAAATACAACTGTCTGGAAAAAGTCCTTAAGGAAGCTCATGTTTGCTGTCCAAAAAAATAGAATATTTCTCAATTAGAACAGCTTATATCAGAATTATATTGAAATCTGCCATCCAGTGGAGAACTGCTTTACAAACCCAAACCCAAATCCAACTGAAAGTAAGCTTTTTCCCATTGAAATTGATTTCAACCACATGAAAGTAAATATGTCCTTTAAGCTTCCCATTTGTAGTAATTAAACACATACATTCACTCAGCATAAGCCCACATGAATTTAGTCAGGTAGTCCTATGAGTTATACAGGCCCAGGGACCTGGCATGCTTTCCCTAAGAACTGCATCTATCCAAAAATGCAGAACAGTATGATATACAGATAATAAACACCTTTCTTTGTGTATAGCAAACCTGAAGATGGAGATCTATAGATCCCATATACTCCAGTGGTGGGTTTCAAAATTTTTTACTACGGGTTCTGTAGGTGTGGCTTGGTGGGTGTGGCATGGCTTGGTGGGCGTGGCAGGGGAAGGATACTGTAAAATCTCCATTCCCCCCCACTCCAGGGGAAGATTACTGCAAAATCCCCATTTCCTCCCGATCAACTGGGACTCGGGAGACAGAGAATAAATGGGGGCGGGGCCAGTCAGAATTTTTACTACCGGTTCTCTGAAGTACTCAAAATTTCCGCTACCGGTTCTCCAGAACTAGTCAGAACCTGCTGAAACCCACCTCTGATACTCCCATGCAGGGGTGGTATTGACTTATCTTTGCTACCGGTTCGCAAATGTGAGCATGTGCGCAAGCAAAGCTCACGCACAACACCTCTGCGCATGCACAGAGCATCAAAAACAGGATGTGATGACGTCCGGGCAGTTGGGCGGAGCCTCCCACAGCTGCCGCTACCGGTTCACCTAAACCAGATATAACCGGTGGAATACCACCACTGCTCCCATGATGTATACAGGTAGTCCTCAAGTTACATCCATTCATTTAACAATCCTTCAAATTATGAACACAATGAAGAAAGTGACCTACAACTGGTCCTCGCATTTACAACCATGGTAATGTTCCCAAAGGCAAGTGACCAGAATTTGGGAGCTTGGCAATTAGCATGTATTTTATAACAGTTGCAGTGACTGAGGTTAAGTGATTGCCATTTGCAACCTTCCCAGGGGGTTTCGGACCAGAAAGGTCAATCAGGGAAGCGAGATTTGCTTAAGTACATCATTTGCTTAACTGGTTGTGACTCACTTAATGACTGCATTATTTAGGAATGGAAGTTCTGGTTCCAACTATGTTCATAAGTATAGGACTACCTGTATAAGTATACCTAGCCTACAGTGCCATAAATTAAACTCTATTAAGAGTTTTTCAGTGCTCTGATGACTCCCAAAGGTATGAGTTCAGTTTCAGAAGTCCAAGACCTTTCTAGGATAACAGAAGTCATTTATCAGGAGGGCAACAGATTGGTGGAGCCTGCAGTAGAACCATTACTATACCTTCTTCAGGAGCAATCCATGGGAAATATTGTCTGCAGTTAAAAAGGAGGACACCAGGTGAGTTATTGATCCAGCTTCTCCACAATGAGGTCGAAACAAGAAGGTGCTCATACCTCTCTCCCTATAAACAATTTAAAATACAATTAGCATCATACCTGGCCCTTCTGAAATCCCAAGACCAATCATAATGATACATCTCACAACGGCTGTGGGAAGTGCAAAAAATATGCATCTGTGACCCACTGATGGGCAGCAATACGTATTAAATGATTCCGAGGTAAGTCCTCCTCCATCACAGCCTGAGACAGCCTCTGACCTAGCCTGACTTAAAGATACTCACACACACTCTCATGTTAACTAAGGGGGTAGAAGGGGCTCAGTAACTGCTGAGCTTCAGGTTAAAAATGGTTTCGGATGACCTTATCCAATCGTTCAAAGGTAAGTCCTCAATTTTATTAGACAGGTATTTGTGACTGTAGCTCAAATGACTCACTGCAGGATAATTCTGCCAGTGGGCTAACTCTAGTGGCACCAGCAGAGATTAAATATCATATTGTGACCCCAGCTCTGTCTCAATTCTTGAAACTTAGTTTTATTTTATATTATATTTTACCAAGGCTTAAATGCTACTCTCTAAATATGCTATGCGTAACAGACTTTGAAAGTCTTGACTGCTTTGTTTTCTCATTTTAAATTTCTTAATTTCACCCTTTCTCTCCAGTTCCAAACAAATAAAGTCAATCTAAATCAGAAGGCTGCACTGTGTTTGCAATCCGATTTTGTGCTTAATATGAAGATTAGTATGCGAACAGATTTGTAAACAAACAAACGTCTGTGAGAGAATGAATAATCTGTACTATTTGTGCAGATTACAGGTTCACTATGATAATTTAACTACAAAGGGCTCCAGGCAAGGCAGAGAAATGTCACTTGTGAAGTCACGGACACGATTCTACAATTAGTAATTACAACTTTAAGCACTCCTGCTGCAGAAGTAATGCTGAAAGTGACTCTACATATCTGTTGTCACAAGTAATGCAGAAATTTGAGCTTCTGCTGATACCGCTTGATTGCTAAAGCTCATAAAAGTGATTTCATACAGAGATCACAAAAGATATTGAAATGAAAATCAGAATGCATACTTCAAGTACTGATGATCTTCAGTCTGGAAAGTTATCCCCTCCTTAACTAACAAAAGGAACTTTGTGCAAAAAAAAAAAAAAAAAGTTCTTCATTGATGTTTCTCACACTGAAATCAAAATCTCTCAATTTCCACCTAACCCCAGCTTTCCCATCAAACTCACAGATGACACAACTCGTAACCCAAAAACATCTAAGGGTCCTAGGTTAAGAAAGAGTTATAAGATATCCAACTTTTTATTTCTTCGTCTACCTCCAAAAGATGATAGCATCTGTAATGGAATTTATCATTAGGACAATTTATGCCTATTCCTAATGCCCAGAGCAGAATTGTCAACTTGGAAATGTGTAGAACTCCAGCATGTCTTCATTGTATAATTAGAAAGGAGCCAAAATAAATTTAAAAAGAGAGAGGGGAGATAAAGTATATGCATTTTTGTTTATCTTATGAAACCATGATATAAATTCCTTGTCATACCTTTCTACCAAACTTATAGAAACATGAAAATAGAAATATTACTACTTACTTTCTAAGGTTGTTGAGAACCATGATGTTTGCATACATATAATACAAATAATAGCTATATGGAGGATTTTTTTCACTAATCCAAGAATCAGGATGGGGGCTCCTTTCAGAGAACATGTGATCACTATGTTTTGATTCATCATCCACACTATCAAACCCTGTCACCTAAGAATTCAATAAAAACAGATTTTTGTATGAATAATGTATGTCTAATTTTCTGAATTATCTCACTTAATTGCTACAAATTAAAATTTAAACTGCTGAATATCATAAGGTCCAAACCCTATTTATTATTGATTGATTGATTGAATGAATGATTGATTGATTGGATTTATATGCCGCCCTTCTCCGGAGACTCAGGGAGGCTTACAATGTGTTAAGTCAGTTTATTGCCCCCACAATCTGGGTCCTCATTTTACCTACCTCGGAAGGATGGAAGGCTGAGTCAACCTTGAGCCTGGTGAGATTTGAACTCGCAGTAATTGCAGGCAGCTGGTAGCTAAGTGCTACTTTAACAGCACTTTAGTTCGCTGTGCCACCAAGGCTCCTTGGAAAGTTTTGAAATGTTTCTGGGAGTTAAGATGCTATATAAATGATGGTGATAATAATGCAAGCCATTATAGGGTAACCATCACAAGGTGATTAATTTGCATCTCCATAGTTATGTATGAAGGCATCCTAATTTTATTATATTGTTCTTTACCATCTTCTTGGTACTACAAAACCTAATGCTGCCTTAAAACTACTACACAAAATAACTTTTGATTGATAATCTCTTGAAAATTAAGTGAATGTTCACACATATATCCAAATGAATAAGAATACCATAAGCAAAAAGAAAGAGTGCACTGGGATAATCATATTTTAGAATGCAGAGTAGAATTTTTGGCACCATCTAGAGGCCAAAATGCACTGTTATGTATTCAAAGTTTCCATAACAAGAATCAAAGCAGTTAAATATTTGTTCTTTTCTTTTATGTAAATTAAATCTGAAGCTCTCATGAGATCTAATGTGGTAAAAATTGTGGGCTCTCTGCAAATATTCTAACACAGGAAAGATAGGAAGAAGGTAGCTATCCTTAAACGTTATAAAATTCAGAACGAACAATCATGAACTACAATGATCCATTCTTCTAAATAAACAAACAAAATAGGACCATTTGTGGTGAAGAATAACAGGCAGATAATCTAAAGTAGTAAAGGTGTTTTGTGGGAATCTGAGCTCTAACAACAAGAACTCACAACTCCTGCTGTGGGATTCAAATGGAGGGGACTATGTGGCTATGAGACTTGCATGCTGGAGCAATCAAAATTATGTTATCCTGGTCCCAATGAATGTACATATTTGAGTCTAAAGGCAGTCAAGACTACTGAAAAATTTACAGAGAAAATAAATAAAAGTATTGTCAAAATCAGTAATGCAATATCAAAAATCAAACTCCATATAGAATCTTGTGTGAATCAGATTTAACGTATTCCAGCTTTCACTTAGTGAGAATGTTAAGCTGGAGTCTCTGTAAATTGTCTGATTTTCTTTCTCAAAAATTCTCTAATGCAGTACACACAGATATGAGTCCTAAGAATAAGAGCTGGGCATTAATCCTTTCAAATGAAACAGGGAATCAATAGCTGGGTGAGAAAAACATACATGTGTTGCTATGTTGCTGAGGCATTCCAGATTACTAGAGCTGGCTGTTGCCTTTCTCAGGAAATTATTATGGTGAATCTTGTCACATGTCTGGGCAATACTTCATTCCTGGATATCCCAATCTCCCTGAGGCTGTAACCTATTTGTTTTCCAAAATATTAGATTTCCTTATAAAATATCCCCCTTTTCAAATACATTTAGTTGTTGCTTCAAGAGAGATAGTTATATTCAAATTAACTAGATCCACCACAATATAAATAGAGGCCTTCTATGTCCTGGCAATATTTAATGGAGTTCTGCTGGTTCCCAGCTGCACAGATTCCATTTGCCCAGTCTATATACAAATATTTGTACAGAGACAAGAATAAGAAAGAAGAGTGGCATCTAGTTTTCCTTCCCTTACTCTCTCATATTTTTTCAAACACTTGACTGATACTCAAGCTGAATTAGATTAATACATTGAATGTCTCTGGGTTGCCTGCAGAATACGTGTATGTAATATTTCACCTGATAGTCCCTTTTATTGGTCTGTTACATCCCTTTCATTTCAGGCCACAACTGAAAATGAAATATATGTGGTTAGAGAGCACATATTCCATTGTGGGTGATGGATTTGATTGTATATCACTTGTTCACATTGCAGTGGGTTATTATAATTTTCCAAGTCCAAGCAATTCTATAACAGAACGGGGTATTGTCCTTTTTACAGATCCAGTAGTAAAAGATTAATTATAAATCCTTATTGGGATCAGTCAATGGTAATTTTTCCCCAGGTCTTAGGAAGATGTAGACTTCACTACTAAGAGAAGATGGTATTAAATCTGCCAGGAGTCTGAGCATGCTTGTCAAATAAAAAGGCAGGTGTTTGGCATCCTAGCACTTCTGCTCATTAGCAACACCTGAAGGGACTTTAAGCTGGAAGGAGTAGTGGAGCACTGCTTGTGGCAAATATTCTCCCTTATACTAGGCTAGCTGGTTCATCATCTGGGTTAACTGGTCCAACTTGCAACTTGCTGTGATATCTCAGCAAGACACTAGCAACCTGTTTCAGGATCACTGAGATACCAAACAACTGCTGCCTCAGATTTCCTCCTTTAGAATTGGGAGTAATAAGATGGGAAATTTTCTGCCAAAGCTTCCTGCTAACAATTAAACTACTTACATTACAAAGAATATTAAAACACCGTGTGGGTGTAAGATGTCTAAAATGAGATATAAAAAATTATCATAACCTCACATATGCAGAATGAAATATTTGGAGCCTTTAGCTCTACATTTCCAAATTTAAATCTTTTATCCAGAATAAATGCCCTAATTAAAAAAACAATTCATATTGTATTTTGTAGGATTAACAGATATTTATAGAACAAATTTGTTCATATTTTACTCTGTCTAAATATTTTTCTAATACCTTGTAATTTTCTTTTATCATAAAAATTACTGAAAAGATTATAATTATCTCTCTTCAGCACTTTTAGATTTCACATTCTGTTTGAAATTAAGTAGTTAATTTTCTCAATTAATATGAGAATTCCAATTTATCATGCAGGGAGTTTGTTATTTGTAAATACTGAAACCAAACAGAGTTTGTTTCACCTGTCTAGACACCAATTTTAACTCTAGTCAGTAATGACTAGTTTAATATCATACCATACTATAGAGTCATATTTTTATTTCTCAGTTTAGAAAAGCAATTTTGCATTTGTTGATATTGAACTGCTTATATATCATTAAAATGCTAGTAAGATGCTAGCAGATTTAGTTTGAGCTTAGAAAATGTCTTCTTTTATACCAGATTTTGAAATTCTTTTGGAATTAATTCCTGTTCAACCAAATTCTTTACATCAACAGGAGAGCCAGTTTATCTAATCTATCAATCCAAACTGAAATATATGGAAATAATTAAATTAACTGCATAGTCCCATGATATACCTCAGTAAATTAGAATGAGACAATTATATATTAACAACATATTTCAAAGCTCTATGCAAGGGACTGGTGCATTTTCACTAAAAATCTTAGTCCACTTTCCTCTATCTGGCTTTTAAGATTTCATGTCACTAGTTACTGCCCAAACATTTAAAGCCTATTTCTGTAGTTTGAACTTGCTACTGAAAACACATAAAAGAAGAATGCAGAGTGATACAATCACTAGATATGTGCAGTCTAGGACAGTCAAATACTTACAAATTTAAGAAAAAGATGTAATTCTTTATGATCCAAGGGTTTGATTGTTGCTTCAAACAGAGGTAAGAATATGTTTTCTAGCATCTTCCCAAAGTTAGGCAGAATGTTTTTTGCCCTAAATATATCACTGGGGGAAAAAAACCAAATATTTGAACATTTTTATTGTGCTTATTTGGGATATTGCCTACTTTAGGAATAGGTATTCTTGTCCAACCCTGCCCACCCACCCCCCGCCCCCACAAGATCTCAGTTGAATTTTGACTGCAAAAAAGACCCTTAAGCAACTTTAGTACAATCACTTTAAAGTACATAACAAAAAAATAAAAATACTTGAATTATGTAACATGAAAATGACCTGAATATTCTAGTTTTATCTTCCAAATGGTATTATTATTTAATAACATATTATTATGTTACTGCTACCCATCTGTAATCTTCAATCTAAAATAATGGGGGGAAATGATAAAAGTTTACTTCTCATATCAATCCCATTCCTATTCAGAGCCCTTCAGCAGAACCCTAAGATATTGCATATGATTATTTATATATCCTATTTATTAGATCAATTTATATAGCTGTCCAATCAAAGTACAGCTCAGAGCATCGTACAAATGAAAAACATTGAATAGTAATAAAAACATCATGTAAAACATATTGTGCCAGAGACCATTTCAAAACAACCAAAACCAAGAAAAATAATCAAGATAGGCACAAAACCTCCTATCTCTGTGCCTGGGGGGAAAACCATTCTTCAGAGTCCTTTGAACAGTACACAGGATAAGGCCAGCCAAATCTCAGGGGAAAAGCTTTTCATGGGGAAAATGTGGCAACAGAGAAAACACATCTCTTGGGCTCCTCAAGATGACACTGCTTAAGTGATGGGACTGAAGCATGCCCAACCTGACAGATGTATCAGATACATAGAAGTAATCATAGATAGGGAGCCTCATATATAACCAATTCCTGTGTAACAAAGGGCTTTGTATGTAATAACTAACACCTTGGGTTGCACCCTAAAGCCTACTGGCAACCAGCACAATTCGTGAAATAGTGATATTGCATAGGAAAACCCAAATACTCCTATAACTATACATACTACGGTACTGCATTCTGGACCAGCTAAAGCTTCTGAGTGGTCTTTAAGGACAGGCTCATGGGGAATGCATTGCAGACATCCAAACAATAGGTCATTAAGGCTTGAGTGACCATGAGTAGGGCAGGGATGGAACATGAGTAAGGCAGTAGGATTGCACAAGGTAGATTTGTGCAAAGACCACCTGAGCAATAGCTGCCACTTGTCCTTTGAGCAAGAGCCATATTGGCAACCCCAAATTATATCAACCTGCTTGTTCTCCAGATCTCCCACGAGTCATTTTTGCAATATTTGTGGAAGCAATTGAATAACAAGGGCAATTTAAATATAGGAAGCTATTTGGGGGATGTATCTTTGCTTCCCATGTATAAACTCGAATAATTATAAATTTAAAGTAAAATTGCACTGCAGCAATTTATATGGATTGCATTTACACATTTAACTTTACATGATAAGCCAATTTTTATTGGAAAATGGCAGGATGGACCTGCACATGGCTCTCAAGTCTCTCTTGTTCATTAGAAATCAGCTCATCAAATTATGGAACCAACCTGCTAAAATGCTGCTACCTTTGTGCTAATCTCCCAGGTTTAACATACCAGAAAGGAAGGGAAGGAGGAAGTAAGCCATACCAACTCTTCTAAAATAGAAACTTCCTGGTACCACCCACTTTAGCAATGCCATGTTACTGCCTAGCTTTCTTTAGTCCTTTTATCTTCCAAATCATTATGGTTTCCAAAATATTGTCCTCAACACTTTTTAAAGCAACATGTTTCTTACAGGCAAATTAATTGAAGCTGTCAAACCCTCCAGATGACCTCACACAATATAGTGTGGCAACAGTCATGGTGCAAGGTTATTTACTTAACCACAATTGTGGAAAGAAAAAAAAAGTCAAATTTCCTCATTCCTGTAAGGGAAGTTCTTTTTATACTTAAGCATATTTTAAATCTCTCTCTCTGTTAAAGAACTGGAAAAAAGAGAAATGAAACAGTTTCCACTAGTGCAATTAATTATTGATTCTTTTACTTACTAGATTCTTGGGACCTGAATCATCCAGCGCATGTGAGGTGAATAAACTTTGTGCCTTATGAACCATTTAGCCAAATTCTGCCACTCATCTGCAGAACGCCCATAAATAGACAGCCGAGGTTCTGTGTACTGGTATTTACTTTCTTCTAGTTCACGGGCAACTTCCTATTCAAAATAAGCCATTATTACTTTTCTGTTTAGAGCAAACATATTTCATCAAAAAGTCTTACATGCAGAGCCTAACTTAGAAATACACCTACTGATCATTAATCACAATGCATTTTGATTCCACATTTCAAATTCCCCAAGTGTTTACAGACTTAATGATGCCATTTAGGATTGTTTTTAAATTTGCAAATTATAGAACTTCCTGCCACATAATATTTGCCACAGTGTTTGAAACTTTATATATTTCAGCATTCTTCTGATGCAGTACCATGAAATTTAGAAATGTGAGCAATACGGGAAAGGCCCTAAAGTATTTCTAAACTTTGTTAAGACAGAAATATTCCCTCCACCATAGAAACCTAATTGGAAGAGGTGAGGAACTCATCTCTCTTAGACATGGATATCAGGGTTTTGCTGAAATCTGATGGGGGGACAGGAGGAACATAGACCATATTATTAGCTACAGATGTTGCATCCTGCTTAACATTCACCCCAATCATGAATATCTGAATGAAGAATTATTCCACCTGTACTGCTAGATGACCACTAGATGGTAACAAGGAGATCCAGAAACTGGGATGTATTGTTCTATACTCTACCTAACAAAGTTAATAATTGATTGCATCTGTAACTGTGAAACCACAGACTGAGCTCTTTGAGACTTGCAAATTCAGTGATCAATGTTAACAATAAAATTAAGCACCAGTACACGAAACTATACTGAGTAGTTTCCATTATATCTTCCAGGATCTGTTTATCAATAAAAACACTCCTTTATCAATAAAAGCATTTAAGTATAGGAAGATGCCATCAAGTCCACCCCCTAATTTTAATTTAGAATTAGAATTAGAATAGAATGAGCTGGAAGGGCTTCTAGTCCAGCCCCCACCCCCACCCCGGTTCAAGCAAGAGAAGCTATATCATTTCAGACAAATGACTATCCAGTCTCTTCTTAAAAACCTCCAGTGATGAAGCATCCACAACTTCTGAAGGCAAGCTCTTCCACCGGTTAATTGTCCTCACTGTTAGGAAGTTTCTCCTTAATTCCAGGTTGCTTCTCTCTTTGATTAGTTTCCAACCATTGTTTCTTGTCCTGCCCTCCGGTGCTTTGGAGAATAATTTGTGGCAGCCCCTCAAATACTGGATACTGCTATCATGTCACCCCTAATTCTTCTTAAAGCATTGTGTATCAGAGGCATCCACAAAACCCAGTGCTTTCATCCAAATGACCAAAGCAGTCTTGCACCATTGCAACACAATTCCATTTCTTTCACAGGTGCCTGCAATATCATGATATGTGTAGAAAAAAGGCAGAATTGTGTCGTGAAGTGTGACACTACTTTCCCCTCTTTGACTGTCCTTGCAGATGCATCTGTCCCAAAATAATGGCTATCCAACACATCCAGTGAAGAGTGCAGTGGCTCATTAGATTAGACACTGGGCTGATGATCCGTAGGCTCATGTTCAAGACCCAGTTGCTGCTGTGTGAGACGGGGTGAGCTCCCATCACACACTATAGCTCCTGCCAACCCAGCAGTTCAAAATCAAGTGACCGTAAATAAATGGGTACCACTTCAGTGGGCAATTTAACGGGGATATGAAAGGAGCCCCAAACTTGGCATTCCCTGGGCAACGGTGATGCGGCTATTCAATCCTTTCAACCCTGAAGAAATGCGGGGCTCCCCACTTGACTGTAGAAGCAGTATCCAGTGAAAGGGAATCCCTATCTCTTTGGGTAATTGATTAGATCTAATCTTTTTTCCTGGATCAATTTGGACATGATACTCCTATTCTTCAGGCACAGTTGATGTGGTTCCTCCATGACCTGAACAAATAGACACTATAGGAAGACCCCTCCCTGAGCAGTTCATACCAACAATGAGCTGTAAAATTCAAAACATTAGCCACAAACTATATGGATTCTAATTAAGAGTAATAAAACATATGAAATTGAAGTCATTCCATCTTTGTTTTACTCTACACATACTCTTCCATTATTTCATAAATGTCATCTTCATAATTAACAGCATCTCTGTTAATTAATATTAAACAGATATGCTGCTAATATATGAATGAAATAGGATTCATGTAATTACTGTTACATTCAGTCTGGTTTTCCTAATGGAGGCAGGATGTCCAATTTTGTCTTCTAATTGCACCCACAAATGTCCACAAATTTATGCAATGAAGCATTTCAGCAATCCATAATTCACAGAAAAAAGGCAAACACATTTTCACTGTTGAAAATGAGATTTAAATGGGCTTAACCTCTAAAGACTAACATCAAAATAATTTTGAAGAACTGAACAGATTAATCAGATATTCCAAATCATTTATTGTGTTTTGGATAACTCTTTTATACCAGAATAATGTAAAATGGTGTACTATTTAAGTTTTATAAACATTTTATGTATGATTCATATATATTGCGTGTATATGTACATCATTTCTCTTTATTCAAATATTTACAGTAGGTCAAAGATGTCCTTCAATTCCAATCCCATGCCCTAATTTATGCAAACAGAAAGTATTTGTAGATTTATAATATATTTTTCATGCAAAATTTGATTTATATTAATGCTAAATTGTATTTCTCTTTCAAATAAAAACATTTAAGATTAATAAATCCTCAGTAGTATCTAGACATTGATACAATTGGATTAGAAATCTTATTTTCATGAGTAAAACAATTCATTATTATCTACAACAATGGAAAAAAAACTGATGAGAAATTCATCAGTTAGAATAGTTCACATTAAGATATGCAGGTAAATGGGCTATGCAAGACATCAGCCCATGGCATAGTTACAGGATTTAACTTTTGGAACAGAAAAGTTCAGGACTTTAGAAAACGCTAATGGAAGAATTAGATAAGGCTTCAATGGAACTGTATCTAGGATGAATTATTATTCTGGTTTATATACTGCTTCCTTCATAAAGGCTCTGAGCAATAACAAATGCGTAGCAGAGTAAAAACATTGGTTAAAACAAATGTACAGTAACTGATACGCCACATCTCTGATATCCTCATATCCTCATTCATTTGAGTCCAAAGTGTTTCAAAAGAGGTACATTTTTTACAGCTCTTTGAAAATATTATCAACAAGGAATAGTTTAAATATCCAGGGCTAAGCTGTTCCAGAGTAGGACAGCCATCACAGAAAAAGTTTAACAATGGGGTCCCTGCAGGTCAGGGGTGAAATACTCCTGGTTCAAACCGGATTGGGCGATCCGGTAGCGATTGTGGCAGGTGGTTCGGAGAACCGGTAGCAATGGTGGCACGAGGCTCCGCCCACCCACCTGGGTATTGTTACTTCCTGGTTTTAATCAGGAAGTAATGTGTTTTTTACCCTGTGCGCATACACAGGTTTTGCGTATGCGCAGAGAGTCTGCGCATGCATGTGACGTGCATGAGCACTTCTGAACCGGTAAGGAAGGTAAGTAGATTTCACCACAAAGGCTACCATCAGTAACACACTGCCAGGGACTCAGATCCTGCAGTGCCAGACGTGTCCCCCTGTTTAAGCCAGTACATGTCCGGGCCCGTCTGAAGTTTGCTAGAGAGCATTTGGATGATCCAGAAGAGAATTGGGAGAATGTCATATGGTCAGATGAAACCAAAGTAGAACTGTTTGGTAGAAACACAACTCGTCTTGTTTGGAGGAGAGAGAGTGCTGAGTTGCATCCAAAGAACACCATACCTACTGTGAAGCATGGGGGTGGCATCATCATGCTTTGGGGCTTTTCTCTGCAAAGGGATCAGGATGACTGATCCGTGTACAGGAAAGAATGAATGGGGCCATGTATTGTGAGATTTTGTGTGCAAACCTCCTTCCATCAGCAAGGGTATTGAAGATGAAACGTGGCTGGGTCTTTCAGCATGACAATGATCCCAAACACACTGCCCGGGCAACGAAGGAGTGGCTTCGTAAGAAGCATTTCAAGGTACTGGAGTGGCCTAGCCAGTCTCCAGATCTCAACCCCATAGAAAACCTTTGGAGGGAGTTGAAAGTCCATGTTGCCCAGCGACAACCCCAAAACATCACTGCTCTAGAGGAGATCTGCATGGAAAACGTTTGACCTATGCATTGCCAACAAAGGATATATAACAAAGTATTGAGATGAACTTTTGATATTGACCAAATACTTATTTTCCACCATAATTTGCAAATAAATTCTTTCCAAATCAGACAATGTGATTGTCTGGATTTGTTTTCTCATTTTGTCTCTCATAGTTGAGATCTACCTATGATGTCAATTACAGGCCTCTCTCATCTTTTTAAGTGGGAGAACTTCCACAATTGGTGGCTGACTAAATACTTTTTTGCCCCACTGTATCTTTGGTTAATAGTAACCTATTTAAAATGGTTACATGATGACATGCTCCTACAGAGTTTTCTGTCCATTGTAACTGAATGGCCTAAAATCTTTCAGAGCAGGTGTAACTTTTCCTGGTTTTATTTGGCATACAAAAGAATTCACATTCTAACTAGATTTACTAGATGGCTTTGGGCCAGAACAAATAAATATATAATGGTCACACTCTTTCAGCCCTAGAAAGAAGGCAATGGAAAGTCACTTCCGAAAAACTTGCCAAGGAGCCTTCAGGGATGTCTCTAGGTAGTCACCAGGAATCAACATTATCTTGGAAGACACAGAAGCTAAGACATGATTAGCTGAAAAGCTGCTTACCTTCACCATCCGAGCAAAATATTCACCACCGAGATAGTTTTCTGTTTTCAAGTATAAGTCCCTCAACTCACTTGCACCAACTGGATTATATTTGGAGTTAAATTTATCAAACCGGTGAAATGTCTGGCGATCCTAAGAAAAGCAGGGGTTAAAAAAGTACATTTGTTATATTCTTATATTATTTATCACTGGATATTAGTTTTAGTAACTCACATATTCATAATGTTTTTTTAAAATATAAAATATGAGCCTACAAAAAGGTAACTTGAATTCAGACTATAACAACTAGCACAGTAAATACACAAAAGGCATAAGAGTTTGTCAACCCAAAGTTTCTTTCTCTTTCCATGGCTGGGCAATTTACGAAACCTTGATAATTATTCAGATGTGTTCTTTATTTAAAATGAACTTACTGCATGAACATCTAGTGAGTCTACAGTGAGGTCATAGGGATCCATGTGTAGGCTTTCAAACACCTGCTTCAAAGTCAGCTTCTTGTCTTTTCTTTCCCCAACTATCCTGTTGGGTTCAGTTTGATAAGTGTGCTTAATGAACCTCAGCAGATGTTTCTGATTCATGCAAGCAGCAGCGTGGATGTGGGTATCAACCTGAAATAATAAAAAAGTAGCAATTTTTCCCACCTATTTTATTACTATCGCTGTGACACAAATTTAAGTTAAAGACATTACAGATAATGATTGAGCCTCAAATTTCTGTTGCTAAGCAAGATAGTTGTTAAGTGAGTTTTGTCCCATTTTACAACCTTTTTTGCCACAGCTGTCAAGTGAATCACTGCAGTTGTTAAATTAGTAACATGGTTATTAAGTGAATCTGGATTTCCCATTGCCTTGGGCTTGTCTGAGGGTCACAAAAAGTGATCACATGATCCCATAATCCAGTGTTTGCCAAACTTGGCTATTTTAAGATGCATGGACTTCAATTCCCAGAATTCCCCAACCAGTATGCCTGGTTGAGGAATTCTGGGAGTTGAAGTCCATACATCTTCAAAGGGTCAAGTTTGGGAAACACTGCTAATCTACCCCATAAATATGAGTCAGTGTTTGAATTTTAATCATGTGACCATGAGGATGCTGCAACAGTTGTAAGACTGAAAAACGGTCATAAGTCATTTTTTTTCCAGTTTTGTTGTAACTTCAAAGAGTCACTAAACGAATGGTTATAAGTTGAGGATTACTTGTAATTTATCCATTAATGTGCTACTGTTAATGTAAAATTACAAAACACATTTTCACAGATATCAGACAGCAAGTAAGGCAAGAAATATAATCTTGAATTCACCCAAATCCACACCTCTAATAAAAATTAACTATGTCACAAACAAGTCCACTTTGAGGGTTGGTGAAGGATCACAGATTTCTTTTGTTAAGCCCTTAGGATAAGAAAGTTCCTAAATTAAAATGGAAGAAGATTGGAAAGCATTTCCAAACTGTATAGACAATGCCATTGTGAATTAACAGCCTTGTGAATGACATATGTTACTGTTGGCAGAAGCCTGTCTTTTATCCTAATATTTGGTCCATCAACAGAAGAGACTGGGCCCTTTTCATCTCATCTATACCTTTGTAACCCTGAAGGACTTTTGAGTTGTTGCCCAAAGCAGCAAAAGGAAATTACTGAAAACTAGAGATTAGATGATGATTAGAGGGTGCTGTGGCTCAGGAGTTAGACATTTGAGCTTGTCAGCTGAAAAACTGATAGCCCAGGTTCAAGATTGCACGACAGAGTAAGTTCCCATTACTTGCCCCAGCTTCTGCCCACATAGCAGTTCAAAAGCATGTAAAAGTAAGTAGATAAATAGGTACCACTTCAGTGGAAGGTAACAACATTCCATGAATAGTTTATAGTCACATACTGTGTTTCCCCGAAAATAAAAACCCTGTCTTATTTTATTTTATTTTTTGAACCCTTATTGCCATGTGCTCAAAAGCCCGATTGGGCTTATTATCAGGAGATGTCTTATTTTGGGGGAAACAGAGTATGTGTGTGTCTGTGTATAGATAGATAGAGAGAGAGACGATAGACAGACAGACAGACAGACAGATTTGGCTACCTATACATTTTGTTCAGTACTTTTTCTCATGACATACATGTTTTCCCTTTTCCTGCCAATTTTAATTTACTCCCTTATTTTCAGCATATCTGAACCAGAGCCAACAGTGTTAGCCAAGTCACGAAAGAACAGTCCATCTTATTAACCTATTAGGCTGTTTAATGAGTTTTACTCAAAAATATTTAGCATTTTAAAACATATCCCATGTGTCTTATTTTCTCAGGGATTAATGCAGTAGTGAAATCCTCTGTGGATTGCCACCGGTTCTCTGCCTGCGCATGTGCGGTGCATGCCGAACACGTGCTGTGCGTGCACATGTGCAGTGCATGCCAAAAGCATGCTGTGCGTGCATGCATGTACAGTGCACACCAAAAGCACACTGTGCGCGCATGCACAATGCATGCAAAGCGCACAGTGCATGTGCACATGCACAGTGCACACCAAACGCATGCTTTGTGCGGAAAAAGAAGGCTTAACAAGGTAAGTAGAACAGCAGGGGGGGAACAGCTGTGCCGTGCAATTTAGATTTGCTAGAAAGCAGGATTTCTAGCAAATCTAAATTGCACGGCACAGCTGATCGTCGGAAATACCAGTTCAGATGAACCGGTAGCTTTAATCACTATCGGTTCCCCCAAACTGGTGTGAACCGGTAGCATTCTTGTTGTGGCTCCATTACCTGAGCCTGTGTCATCGGCAGGAGAGGACTCCGAGAGTGAAGGAGAGGAGTTGGCAAGGCCTCCCTCTCCAGGACCCTCCTCTCTGGCAATGCCTTCGGTGTCCGCTGAAGGGCAAGAGATAGGGCCGGGGCCAAGCACGTCCACACAGCCACAGGTGGACAGTGATGAGGGTAATGAGTCTTGGCTGGATCCTCGGCAGCGTCGCAGAGATAAGCGCACACAACAGAAGAAAAGGCGTGCCAGAGATTAGGCTGAGTCACTGGACCACACCCCACAGGATATAAAAGGGGGTGACGTGGCCATTCAGACTCTGTGACGGACAAAACTAACTACTATCGAGTCACATTGCATCTTTGGAAACAACATTATCGGCCTTGGATTTATTTTATGAAATGGACAATTCTTGACTGTGTGTATTTTGTTTATTGAGTAAAAGTTCTTGGCAAGCAACTACTGGGTTGCTGCCAAGCGTCTTATTGGAAGAATTGGTTGTCTGCCAGTTTACTTAACCCCCGGCTGTCTGTTTGTGTGCGTGTGTGGGACGGGGACAGAACAATTCTCTACCTTTAAGATCTATATCAGGGTTGTCAAACTCGTGGCCCATGGGCCAGATGTATCATGTGCTGGCCCCTCCCCCGCTTGGTTTAGCAAAGGAGGGAAAAGGCCCATTACATCACGTGACAACACTGTGATGATGCGAGCTTGACACCCCTAATCTATATGAACCAATACACTTATGTTACTGTCACAGAGAAACATACAGTTAAATCTGTAATCTTTCTGCAGGATTTGAGAATTGAGTGCAAGCTAGAAAACAGAGAGGACTGAAATAGAAAAGAGTTCTTACGTCTGCAGAGTTCAAATTGTTATCAGATTCTTCTCCAAAGCAATTGCACTTCTGACTATTTGCAGAAGCGAGGGAAAATGTCTTTTTTTAGCTCAAGCAATAGGCCACATTTTACTTCAGCTCACAAACATTATTATTAAGAATTTAAGGTGATATGATATACTGTTCCTATCAAGGGAGATCAGGATGGATAAGCTCTTCACCGAATAGATGAAGTTGACCAATCCTTATTAATTTCATTTCAGTTGCAAAAATAATTTAGCCTCTACTATGATAAAAAAAAATCCTTCAACTTCATTCAATCCTCCATGCTTTCTCTGTGTCTTTAATCATAACTACTGAAGCTTAAGCAAGAGGTATTTATTTAAGGGGCTGTCTATTTTATTTTCTATAATCATTATGAAACAAAACAATGCTTCAATTCAGCAAAATGAGAATCTTCAGTATCTTCAGCTCTTTTATACCTTGAGGAACATTATTTAATGAACATGGCAAGAGAGTAATAAATGAATTACAGTTGACCATATATGCCTAACCAACTATTTAGAAATTTGTAAGAGGCAAGCAGAAGATTCTGGTTTACTCAACAAGGAAACAAACATTCAATATGGGAATTTCCACAAATAATATTACATTTACACTATGCAAACACATATCTTGTTAGTCTAGTCAAATGCCGATTGTATTACAAATACTGTAGCAAAACTGAGTGTCTTGATTATTCCACTGACTAATCAACTCAGTCAAAGTCAAAATGAGAAAAGTACATTTAGTAAGTCACATCCTGATCCAAAAAAATGTTTTGGAAACACAAGTAGATTTTTGTGTTTATTATACCCTTCATTGCCTCTTCAAAATACTGCTATTGAAAAAGATACTTATTTTGCATGTATAAATCAGGTCCTATGATAGAAAACAGCAGCAATGAATTCTCTCTTAAAAGTAGCAATATCAGTATCAATAGCACTTATATACCGCTTCATAGTGCTTTACAGAGCGAGCATATTGCACCTAACAATCTAGGTCCTCATTTTACTGATCTTGAAAGGATAGAAAGCTGAGTCAACCTTGAGCTGCTCAGGATGCAATCTGTTTCGGCCAAGGGTATGTCAAGGCATCTTACGATATAACAAAGGGTTAAAATTAGGGGGGGGGACATCTAAATTTAAAATAACTTAATTCAATTAATTAAACACAATATCATTGCCCTCTGTGCATTTAATTTTTCCTTTGATTACATTAAAAATTATGGGTTGGTAACAATTTTCATAAAAGCTGTGGGAAGGTTTGAGGAGGTTGTACATGGTCCCTGGGGTCTCAGATTGCCCATTAGTCTGTTAAGGCTGGACATCTTTCAATCATTATTCAGAAAGATGCTTCAGATCTCATGTGAACTCAGCACTTCTCTGCTACAGATTAAGTCAGCCAAGTCCTTTTTCAGACTACTGAAAACCTGAAAAATGATCATGTTGCTTTAAGGATTCATTAAAGTAGCTTTTTCCCCCCCTCTTTTGGGCAGATGAAGCTGGAAAAAAGATGTAACTGTTTTAATGAATAGCAGAGAGATGCTATTCTTGAATAAGATACAACACAGTTCATTGAAATCATGTTTGAAATCAGCACAGCACAGTAATAAGGCACAGAAGGGAAGTTCATTTTTTAAAAAATGTTATTCAGAAGCATTTATTGGACTGGATGAAAAAGAGCCACAGATATTTATTTATTTGATTTATATGCCGCCCTTCCCTGGAGACTCAGGGCGGCTTACAATGCGTTAAGCAATAGCCTTCATACTTTTGTATATACCTGCTTAGTAGGGCTTTCGGGGCCCCCAAAGCGGTGTTCTTTTTTATACAAAGTCAGTTTATTGCCCCCACAATCCGGCTCTTCATTTTACCTAGCTTGGAAGGATGGAAGGCTGAGTCAACCTTGAGCCTGGTGAGATTTGAAATCGCAGTAATTGCAGGCAGCTGGCAGCTAAGTGCTACTTACGAGCACTTTAGTCCACTGCAC